TCCATACAAATACCAGAACACAAAATTATCCTCAGAGCCATGAAATATTCAGTGTTGCTAATTTCAAGCAAACAAAGGGGATCAAAAAGAGCAGAGTTTAACTATAAATTAACCCATTTTCTACTATACCAGATTAGTGTATGTTCACCAGACTATACACAAGAGAAAGGAGACACAGACTTACGTATAGTAATCTGCAGTCCATACAAATACCAGAACACAAAATTATCCTCAGAGCCATGAAATATTCAGTGTTGCTAATTTCAAGCAAACAAAGGGGATCAAAAAGAGCAGAGTTTAACTATAAATTAACCCATTTTCTACTATACCAGATTAGTGTATGTTCACCAGACTATACACAAGAGAAAGGAGACACAGACTTACGTATAGTAATCTGCAGGTTTTCTGAAAAAAACAAAACAAAACAAATAACCAGTAAGAGTGACAGAGTCTTTTCCAATGCTGCTGCAGATGGTAAAACTGAGGGAGGGTTCAGGGCAGTGGTAGTATATAACAGCAGCCAGTGGCACCATCCCAAGGAGATGCTGGTGGAACAAAACCTCCAATGCACATAATGCTCATACACCTGATTGGAAGGGATGTGAACAAGCCCTGTGACACTAGGGTATGTCTAGACTACATGGCTCCATCGACAGAGCCATGTAGATGAGTTGACTAGACATAGGAAAATGAAGCGGTGATTTAAATAATCGCCGCTTCACTTACATCAAAATGGCCGCCACTTTGTGCCGATCAGCTGTTTGTCGGTGGAGCCATGTAGTCTAGACATACCCTAGGACACAGAGTGTAGAAAACAATGTCTGCTATTGGGTGCATATGTGCTCATGGGGACACCATTTGAGCTCCCTGACTCAGGTACCAAATATTGTTAGCTGGTCCTTGGCTCGCCACCCAGTATATGCACCCCAGGGTCCAGCTGGAGTACTTGGAGTGGCTAGCTCATACAGCTGCACACTTGACCTGTGTGATACAATTCTGGAGCAGCCTAGCAAGATAAGAGGTAGCACGAGTACATCTTATTGATCTGGTAATTACCCACCTAGCACCAAAAGCAGATGCAGTCCCCAAGGCAGAGACTTGACCTTTACTGATGGAAGTAGAATGGAAATCTTACCTGTTTCTGGAAATTCTTTTTTGCTTTCTGAATGAGGACAATAAACACAAAACAATTTTCATTGATTAACTGTGTTGTTCTTTTTTGTCCTTAAGACACACACAGACATTGGATGGAAATCCTGCTCCCCAAAGAGTTAAGGTCGAACTGCTGTTGCTGGCTAATCAGAGGAGGACTGAATCCCATGTCTCTTTCAACTCTTGCCATTCTCAGGGGCTCTGCAGGGAGTCGAAGCTGCTCCCCCATTCCTCTAAGAATTTATACCCTTGCTGTAGCCACAGGATGCTGCAGAAACTTCCAACTGAGATGTTACTATAAGTCCCAGTTGCATTTTTCCCAGGTGGCGGAATGACCAGAGCAAGAGTTCCTCAACATTCACAATGGAGACAGGGGACTGTTCATAAAAACTTAGTTCTGCTCTATGCAAAGCCCTTAGTTCGAAATAAGCCCTGAAGGTCAATTTTGTTACTGAAGCATCCACACTATCTCAAGATTTTTATTTAAGAACTAGCAAATAGCCCTTCATAAGATGGGATTTTTGTGTCTCTCCTCCTCATCCTATTCCCTTTCTATCTCACACTTCTCTCCTGAGCCTCTGGTCTCTCGCTCCGTTTCTCTCTCTCTCTCTCTCGCTCTCCCCTCCTCCTACTGCCTCCCCCCGCTCTCTCGCTCAGGTCTCCTCCACCTCCTGCCTCTCTCTCCGTCTCTCTCTTTCTCTTCTCCCCCTCCTACCTCTCACTCTTTCTTTCTCTTCTCCTCCTCCTCATGCATGGAGAGCGCAGAGCCCAAACAGCTGCTTGTGCTGCTTGGTTCCACGCGATGGCCCAGCAAAGTGGCACAGAAGTCATCCCAGTGCCACGGTAGTAGGCGAAGGACATGATGGAGGTGACATATATTGCCAGGCCCCGCCCCCTGGCCATGTACGTCACTGCTCCGCCTCCCTTAGCCTCCCACCATGGCATTCGGCTGACTTCTGTGCCGCTCAGCCAGACCACTGCGCGGGAGCAAGTGGCGCAAGCGACTGTTTGGGCTCTGCACTCCTCATGCAGCACAGGCAGTGCGGAGCCCAAAAAACGGCCATTTGGGCTCCATGGTGCCCAGAGTGAGAGGCAGGAGGAGAAGAGAAAAAGAGAGAGACAGAGAGAGGCAGGAGGCAGAGGAGAGCTGGGGGGGG